TTGTTCCTTTTATCCAACCAAATAAATAAGATTCTTATGGTCTGTTTCCGCTAAGAGCTAACACAGAAAATTCAGTTCTCCTATCATTCGTTCATTTTGTTTTTGCCCTGCTTTGTGGGGCTCTGGAATTTTTTTTTCTCTAAACAACTTCTGATGCATAATAGCTTTGAAGGGTTATTATTGATCTGTATTTTTCTAGCGTTTTGCGTTTTGGGGTTTGAAGCTTTTCAGAAAGTTTCCTTCTTTGAGATTCAACCATGTCTGCTCTTGTTAATTACGGTGGTAAGCTGTTTTCTTTTCATTTTCTACTTCTCTTTAGTGGGTAAAGACTGTCTTTGAATATGTAGATTTGTTTGTACTTCTTAGATTGATGATGATGTTTGAATTTTAAGTTTTTACATGGAGATCACTCGTAAGAATAGTTTATGTGGACTCGGATACCGTTCTGGGTTTCTCAAGTCACGGTTCTATTGGTTTTGGCTAGAAAACTAAAGGCAGAAAGGTTTAGGAACCGTTAGATTAATATGTATTCTGAGGACTGAATCCTTGAACATTTGAGTCAAAGTTGGAAGCTTTTACCATGTGATTTGTGTAGTTTTAGTTTATTACAGTTGTTATTTTTCTAAATTCAGGTGATGATTTCTGTTCTGGGACATCCTGTTATACAAATTCCACGGATTTGGGTAGATTGCGTTCAATCAGTTCCCAAGTGGATGTCTATTGCCCTCCGCGTAAAAGATATCGTATTAGTGCCTCGTTTTCCTTTGGTGAATCCGAGTTTGGGCAGAATAAGCAGCAATCTATCAACGCCCTTCCTGACGAATGCCTTTTGGAGATCTTCAATCGCCTTCCTTCGGGCCAAGAAAGGAGCTCTTGTGCTTGTGTCTCGAAGCACTGGCTCACCCTTCTGACCAGTATTCATAAGGGTGAATATGGGTCATCAAAGGTAGTCAAGGAGAATGTCGGTTCGGTTTCAGATGATGTTGAGATGATCTCATTTGATGAGGATGATGGGTATCTTAGACGGTGCTTGGAAGGGAAGAAAGCAACTGACTTGAGACTTGCAGCACTTGCTGTTGGAACAAGTGGTCGTGGTGGGCTGGGAAAGCTTTTTATTAAGAGAAGCAACTCTTCATGTGGAGTAACCAATTTTGGGCTGATTGCTGTAGCCCGTGGTTGCCCTTCTCTCAAGTCACTTTCTCTGTGGAACGTTCATCGAGTTGGCTGTGAAGGTCTGTCTGAGATTGCTAAAGAATGCCACTTGTTAGAGAAGCTAGATCTATGTCAGTGTCCTTCAGTTTCAGATAAGGGTTTGATTGCAATTGCGGAGAACTGTCCTAATTTGACGTCCTTTGAGCATTGAATGCTGCCCGAAGATTGGTAATGAGGGTCTGCAAGCTATAGCAAAACTTTGCCCCAAGCTGCGGTCTGTCTCTATCAAGGACTGTCCACTCGTCGGGGATCATGGAATTTCAAGCCTGTTGTCATCAGCATCTGCTGTTCTTTCAAAGGTTAAGCTTCAGGGCTTGAATATCACAGATTTTTCTCTTGCTGTGATCGGGCACTACGGCAAGTCTGTGACAAATCTAATGCTCAGTGGTCTAAATAATGTGAGCGAGAAGGGATTTTGGGTAATGGGTAATGCTCTAGGTTTGCAAAAGCTGGTCTCTTTGACGATTACTTCATGCCGAGGGGTAACAGATGTAAGTCTTGATGCCATGGGAAAGGGGTGCATAAAGCTCAAGCAGATGTGCCTTCGCAAATGTTTCTTTGTATCTGATGATGGATTGTTGGCTTTTGCCAAGTCTGTAGGTTCTCTTGAGTGCCTGCAGTTGGAGGAGTGCAACAGGATTACACAATCCGGGATTTTGGCGTTCTCTCGAGTTGTGGATTAAAATCACTTACCCTAGTGAAGTGCATGGGAATTAAGAATATATCCTTGGAAGCTCCTTTGCCGACTCCTTGCAATTCCCTGAAATCATTGTCTGTTAGGAACTGCCTAGGATTCGGGACTGGAAGCCTGGCTATGGTGGGCAAATTGTGCCCTCGGCTTCAACATTTAGATCTGACTGGGCTTTACGGCATCACAAATGCAGGTCTCCTGCCTTTCCACGAGAGTTGTGAGGCAGGACTTGTGAAGGTGAATCTGAGCGGCTGCTTAAATTTGACCGATGAGGTTGTTTTGGCCTTGACCAGGTTGCATGGTGAAACCCTCGAGTTGCTCAATCTCAATGGTTGCAGGAAGATTACTGATACAAGTTTGGTGGCTATTGCAGATAATTGCATTTTCCTCAGTGATCTGGATCTCTCAAGGTGTGCAATCACCGATTCTGGTGTTGCTGGTCCTTTCTCTTTTGGGTTGTTCTTGAGTGTCGAATGAAAGCATGCCTTTAATGAAAAAATTGGGCCAGACCCTGGCGGGGTTGAATCTCCAGCAATGCAATTCAATCAGCATTCGAACCGTCGAGCTGCTTGTAGAGACCTTGTGGAGATGTGACATTCTTTTCTAATCTAGTATAACATGCTGTTGAGCCGGATCCAAATGAGTTTTAATCACTGCTTTAAAGATGGTAGAAATATCAGACTCATATAGTCAGCTAACATGGGCAGCAACGTTCAGCACGGTTTTTTTGTTCCGACAAAGTGGTCATGTTGGTTTCTCCATGGCTTGGTGTTTTCCCGAGCACTTCGGCTGTTTTCTGGTGGCCTGTCCATCCCTTCTTTTTGCAGGTTTTCTCAAAATGAGAAAACCTGTTGTAGCAATCGAGCTCCCGTTTACGGAGGTGATTTCACAGCCACGGTTTCCCGGAGAATTTTGTCCTCGAGCGCTTGTTTGAAGTTTCACTCATGATCGACATAGGTTTCGGTTCCATTTTGCTGGATTTGCCCACTGCCCCTACTCGAAATTGCTTTAGCTTTTGTCATTACACATTTCCTTATCGGAATTGCAGGTGCCAGTTCTGGTGTAAGTGTCGATTAAGTTTATGTATTTCGAGAATCTTTGGTGTATCATATTCTCATATATTAAGAAAAATGAGATGCCATATGAATCCAAACGAAAAGCTTAGTTATTATAACATGTTAAGATAGTAAAATTGATTATTTGAGGTTGTTGTTTTGGAGCAAAACTATAAATATCATGAAACAAGGGAAGCTATGGACAAAAATGTCACTATCTACCACTTAATTATTACATTGGAAATAAACACAAAAGGAGCAATGTGACTTACTAAGATGGGACTTTGATTGGGTATGGGTGGAGCTACATCAATGTTGGGTGACACACCCTAATTTTTTTTATAGAAATTTTTAATAAATTTAATATTGGCCTTTCTAAGAAATATTAACACTAATTTAAAAATGATCGATTTAAACCAAGTTGAAGCGGAATTACGAGGTCTTGAAAGGTTTAAAACATGTCTAGAATATAGGAGCACGTCGCGTCATACTCGAAGTCGATAATAACGAAGTCTTTTGGAATTTAAACCAAATTGTGCCGAAACCAGTTTCACCAACCATTTTACAGCACATCCAGGAGCTATTAAACAGACAATTGCTAGTCTTGTATTCTTTGGTTGATCGAACAAATAATATAGTGGTTGATTTTATGACGAAGATAGCCCACATTAAAAAGTTTCTCAACACCTCTGGTGGCTGTAGAGTCGATACTTAGTAAAAAAAATGTTTAAAAGTTAATAGCTAGAATGTTTTATGTCTTTATTTCACACAAAAAAATAAATAATTTTTTTCTTGATAATTAAAAAATGATCGATTTTACTAAATTTAAATTGATATTCATCATTTTTTTCAAAAAAAGAAAATTGATATTGTATTCCATTTTTTAAATATGTTTTTAACAAAAAGGTTTCAATATATTAAAAAAATGATACATTTTGTTCGTGTATCTTTATATGATTATATGATTTTTAATTTTTTTTATGAATATTCGAGCTTGATATATACTGTATAATATAAAGTTAAATAAATTAATATTAAATCTTTGTATGCATAATATTAACCATAAACACCTTTAAAATTTTTAAAAACTAATGTAATGATTAAAATCAATTTCGCTTAATAAAAGAAATTATGTAATGATATTATATATATGTGCCATGATGAACAAACCTCTCTATATCTATTTAAATAATTAATGCAATGTGATTGTTTTTATGGCAGGTATATATAGATAATATAACTTATATAAATATATTTATTATATTACTAAAATTATGTCATGCGAGAAAAAAATAAATATATCTAAGAGATAAAATCAATAATTGACAAATTAGGCTTTGATGAGATCAAGAAGCATAAAAATCAGGGAAGATAGAAAGGGGGATCCCACCTATTAAGCAATGGATGACACCCCACCTCAACTAGCCCAGAAATCCACGACAGTTCCTCATCAACCGTTGGGTTCCACCATGGTCCCACTTTAGTTAAGACTAATAAAGATCAAAATATTCAAATTTTATATATATTTCAACTTAATTTTATATGATATTTTATAGAAGAGAGATATCAGCGAAATTAGATTTAAAATATTTTTTGATCTAAATAATTATTATAATGTTCTCTATATATTTAAATATATTATAAAATAATAAAATGTTTAGCATTATAATTTGAACTTTAAAATTTTATAAATGTAAACATTTAAAATTAAAATTTTAGTTTTATTTTAAAAATTAAATATAATTTTTATTTATTAATATTACTTATAATTTTTAAACATTTTTCAAATACAATATTAAACTTATATCGGTTTGCTCGGCTCCTAGTTTAATTTCTCGCCAACCAAACAGATATTTGGTATTACTGCTCACCAAAACCCCACGTGTTTATCATCACCATGTAAGATTCAATCACTGATATCGACGGTCTAGATCTTTTCCGTACGTCCACTTATTCTCTCAAAAAAAAAATCCAGCATCGCCTCTTCTCTTCTCTTACTCAGCAGCAGGCAAGTGCTAGAGCTAAGAACTTTGGCTTATTTCTGAAATTCGCCTTTTAATTTTCTTAAACAATTCAATTTAGTATAAAATGCTTTTAAGGAGTGCATCGACGCCGTTATTTAATTCACGGATCCCACACTCGAAGGAACCGTCGCCGGAGCCCGAGTTCTCGCCCCTGATTTACCGAACCCGATCCGTTTCGTTCAGAGTTTCTTGCTCGAGCTCGGTTTCTGTCGGGTCGAGCGACGACATGAGCCGGAGGATGACGAGGGCGGTGTCGGAGACGGATCTGAAGATGGCCAGCTCTCCAGTGGTCCCTAAGATGGGGAAAATTAAGCAAAATACCGGGATGCTGAATGGGACATTTTTCGAGGAAGAAGAGGAGGTGGAGGAAGACGAAGCTGGATTTCATTGGCGGAGATCGGAGTCGGTCTCTGTGGAGGAAGTGTATGGAATAGGCGGCGCAAAAGGCGGTGGATCTAATACTGGTGACAACGAGGGCTCGTGGGATTTGAACAAGGGAAATGATGGTGCGGAGTTGTATTATCAGAAAATGATCGAAGCTAATCCAAGAAATTCACTTCTCCTCAGCAATTACGCTAAATTCTTAAAAGATGTAACTTTATATCATCTTTTTCATTCATTTTTTCCCTTAAATAAATGAAAGGTAAAACGACTTTTTGAGTTTAATCTAATGTCGGGAAACCGGACAGGTTCGTCGGGATTTCGTGAAAGCCGAAGAATACTGTGAGAGGGCGATATTGGCAAATCCAAATGACGGGAATGTTCTATCTATGTATGCTGATTTAATCTGGGAAACTCGCAAAGATAGTTCCCGAGCTCAAACTTACTTCGATCAAGCTGTTAAATCTGCTCCTGATGACTGGTAATACAAAAAAAAAGGAATTCTAAACAATGGGTTTCATAATTTATGTTCAATTACACATTGATTGATGAAAAAAATAATCTTTTTTTCTTTCTTGATGAAATTTGCAGTTATGTGCTAGCATCATATGCACGGTTTCTTTGGGATGCTGATGAAAAAGATGAAGAACAAGGTGTGGGAAATTTGAGTAAAGAATCAGAGCAAAGCTTTATCCATGGAGTTCCTTCAATGCCTCCAGCTTTGACTGCTGCTTATTAAGACTCTTCTGCCATGGCTTTTTCTGACTTTTGTTAATATTTATCTTTTCTTTGTTATGTGTTGAGTAGAAATGACATGAGTGAGCTTTGTAGTTATTGAGAACTCTGTTTTGGTCTTCTCATCCTTGGGAGTACCATGTAAAAGAAAAAAAAGATATGAAAATAAATTTTCCATTGAAATGTTCTTGTTTCTCTCTTGATTTTTCTTTGACAATTCATGATAGTGATGATGTTGCTAAGTTAAATTATCAATCTTTTCTCATCAATTAGTGTTAAAAGGATATTAAGGTTAATTCTAGTTGGACGTGAAGGTTACTGAAGGAACTGATTCCCAGTAGCTGATCTTATCTGAAAGATAAAATGACAAAAGATCCACTATTTTTATTTTTACTTTTTCTTTTTGGAGTTCATTGCTTTAGATGGTGATAAAGCTTGAGCATGAGAGAATATTCAAATTGTTTTCACGTAATCTTTTAGACTTTGGTGCTAAAGAAAGATAAACAACCAGATTTTGATAGATTTTGGCCTTTGTTTTCCTCGTCTGGGTTTTTCACAGATTTCATCAAAGTGGGAGATTAAACTCTTTTCCAAGGAAAACTAGCTAGTGGGGAGACAAGGGAGCCGAGAAACGGATCAGATGACCCAAAACCAACCTAGAACTGAACCACTGACCAAACCGATTCCTAGGAACACGACCAACACAATTGCAGATAATTCTGCTTCCGATACTGGTACGGTCTTGGGGGCTAGGATCATCAACACGCTTGTTAGGTATCCATTAGTCAGTCCGAGCATAAACGTAAACACCACCACCGGTATTTCACCCTTGAGCCACTTTGGTCCATGGTGGCAAGAGGTGAAAAGTGGATAGAATAAAAGCCTGGCTATGCAACCCCACGTAGCTTTCTTAATACTCTGTAGAACACATATTGCAGTCAGAGACTTTCCAATGAAATCTGCCACATTATACGCTGTGATCAGCAAAACAGGATACCAGTCCCGGAGAAGCTTCGATTCTAAATCCTCTGCTATAAATCCAGGGAAAACAGACAGGGTCACTACGTATATCATGAGAATCCCGAGCGCTGGCCACCATATCTTCCTTGCAGTGGTCCAAAACTGTGGCCTCGAGCAAAATGGATCATCTCCAACAATTCTGTAATGCTGCTTCATGACTGGTAACTTGTATAGCAAATTGCAACAAAGAATGCAGCAAAACTGGACGGTTGTGCCGGCTATAAAGTAAAAGTGAGCGCTCGCTCGCATGCCCTCTGGTGTTTGTGGAAGTGAAACCTTAGTTATTATCCGTAAGATTGAAACCAGCACACCTGTATGTCGGATTTAGTTAGATATTCGAGTGGTAACATATCAGATCGCACAGTAACTGTTCTAGTCTTTCCTACAGGAAATTATGGTGATAAGAAGAAAAAAGTTTGCACTTGCATAGAATAAACTCCATATTCTGAGGGATCTTTCTCAAACACACATTGAAGGTAAGACATATCTAATAGCATGTTTTCTCATAAATGGTTTCTGTAAATATAGTTTAAACAGTGAAAGTGTTACCTGAAGAGGCAGTTCCAGCAAAAATGGCCTGCATGTACTGTTTCGGAAGCTTTCCTGCAGATCCTATCAAGCATCCTGCTATCAACCCATCTGCTAGACCGCATATTACAACCGCTGCGACCGTCACCAGATAGGCTGCATTCCAATTCTCTTCAGACCAACTACGATGCGACAGCCAGTCTATAGTTGGAGCCACCATTAGGGAGAGAAGAAACATGGAAAAGCCCATGTTAAGTCTAAATCTACGAGTCAACTTCGTGCTGCAGCGACCCGAACTCATCATAAGAACCAAAACCAGCACCGAGGAGCTCATGTAGCCTACAGAGAAAACCTTTTCAACATGCTTGGAAGGGTAGAGATAACCGAAGTAATCAACGGCCGTGATGAAAGCATTCCACGGAAGCAAATTGCCTGCACCGAGCAGGAAATGGATTATATAAGCAACTCTGTAAGTGTCCCTCGGCTCAGGCTGATGATCGGTTGAAGCTTTTGGGTTTTCCATCTCTTGCATTGCTTGTAGCTATAAGTTGTGAACACAGTATTTGGTCGGAATTTAAGCTTGACAAGAAGGTATTCTAGAGGACCATGAATTGACTCGTTGATTAGAAAGGCATAAACAGAAATGACTGAGGCTGACAGAGAGAAGCTTTGCCAGTTGACCATGGGATTTGATTGATGGGTACGGGATTTGGAACCAATGGGGCTCATAAGGTTGGAGAAAATCTGCGCTGTTTGTGGGGACGGCAAGTCGACAATGGATGGAAGGATTTTGAAATACCTTTTTTCTGTCGTTGCTGTATTGCTGCTACCACCCATGACTTAACATGCCATTGGTCTTTTCAAGTTTGTAATCAGAATCTTTACCAGAACGACCAGACTATCATTTGTCGATAGCAAATGACCGCATCCGCAATAGACACGACGGATAGATATCAGCCGAGTATGGTGATATCAGTCGAGGAAGAGTTATTGATGATTTAATTAGCCACCCATATGCAGAACTTGATTACATTATCCAAAGTGTAGTTTTGAACTATTATTCGTTCATATCTTCTACCCCTTTCCACTCATATCTTTTTACCTTTTATTTGTTTAGGGGGGCTAAGAAATGACACTCCATGAACACATTCACCTCATGATTTGTGTTTTGCAGAAGCAGCCACGTCTCTCTACTGGGGATGAAAATGGGTGATTAATAACATATAATCAAAAGATAAATATGAATGGCTTCCATGGAAATAGGGCAATCATACTTTATACTAGCTCTTCCTTTTTGACTTGGGAAGTAATAATGTTGAACTAAAACCTTTGCATATTATGTCACATTTGATTCTTTGGTTTTGGTACTTTCGTTTTGTTGCTGTGATGAGTGCTGGGCCATATGAATTACCTGTCAACCTGCAATAATGGACCTCCCATACTAACTTAAATCATATTGTAAATAATTTATTGTGTGATCTCAATTGTAAAAGTAAATGTCATTCTTTTAGAAAGATTCAAGTTTAAATTATTGTATTTATGCAATATATGTTTTATCAATAAATTAAGAATAATTCAAAATAATTATTATATTATAATCATTTTTGATATTACTAACAATTTATTTGTAATATCTTTATTTATTTTTCTTCATTATTATAAGTATTTAAATTTTAAATTTTTAAAGAGACAAAAAGAATATTTTATAAAGAATATCATTCACGAAGATAAAAATAGGGGTTGGGCTCTGAGTTTACTATAGCTATTGGGCTGGTTTTGAGAGAAGTCCTTTATCCCCTAATAACAACAGCATTCAATAAACCATTCTTTGAATAATTCGATCTTTTATATTTTTTGATTAAATTAGATAAATAATCACGAGTAGAGATTTTTATGTTCCGAATAAAAATACGATACATTTATTTCTTTTTAAAAAATTCATTTATTAGTAACAACAGCACCATTGTTTTTGTTTTATGAATAATATAACTATTAATATTTCCATCAGTTATTAAAATTTTCTTAAAAATAATCATAATTATCTAAATAATTAAATTTTAAAAATATATATTTCAGTTTTTATTAATAATAAATTTCAAACAATAACCGCTTAAAGCTAAAAATGATTAAAATAATAATAAAAACAATTTTAATAGAAACGAAAAAAAAAAATGGGACAGGTGTAAGAAAGAATTGAATTTACGAAATAAATAAAGAAAAGAAAAGAGAAAGCGACAGCGACAGCGAATGGAGCGCGTGGCTGTTGATTAATATTCCATTTGGTTTTGTTTGGTCGTATTTATGTCCCCCAAACAAGTATGCGAATGAAGTCGACTTATTTTGTTCATATGAAATATTGGAATATATATATATATATATATATATAGATATACAATTGAAAATTGTTGGTGAACTTTTATGGAAAATTAGTAAGTTGTAGATGGCGAACTCAGTGGAGAGTGGGAAAGAAGACGCTGTTTGCTTGGAACTCCATGCTCCTCCTGGTTGGACCAAAAAGGTTTTTTCTTTCTTTCTTTTTAATCTTAGCTTGCTTCTAATTTACCATGGTTGCTTATCATTTGAATATTTTTTTCTGGTTTCGGTGCTTTGCTTCTGTTAGCTTACTCGTGAATTACTATAGGTTTTCTTTAATTTTTTTCATGGGTAATTTATGGTGGAATTTTGGGAACTACTCATGATTTTTTTAAAATAGGGTTAATTTGTTGTTCTTCTAAGATTAATGATAAATTGTGAGTAATTTTCTATCTTTGGGGGTGGGGGTGAAATTTCTGGGGTTGTCAATTTCATGGAAGCCAAGCATAGCTAGGGTTCTATAGGATTTTCTTTTTCTGTAATTTCTGTTTTAAAATAATTGCAGGGGACGAATTAGCAAAAAGATAAGAAAAGTGGCATCCTATGTAAAATTTTAGTGATATTAGGTAGTAGATCCCCATATTTTAACTGTGATATCTTGCTTATGCTTTCATTAGGCACCTAAGATTTTCTGGTCTTGTATTTCGTATATCGGTTTTCTATAGTTATAAATCTTCTTCGCTCAATGAGCCGGTGCGACCTCAGGGTGTTGTCTTGTCTGCAGTTTATGCCGAAGAAGCGGGGACTCCTAAGAAAAATGGCATCATATTCATTGCTCCCACAGGGGAGGAAATCAGTAGTAAGAGACAATTGGAACAGTATCTTAAAGCAAATCCTGGTGGTCCCGCTGTATCGGAATTCGATTGGGGTACGGGCGAGACCCCAAGGAGATCAGCAAGGATTAGTGAGAAGGTAAAGCAATGCCGGTACAGGAAAGTACTGAACCTCCAAGGAAACGAGGGAGAAAATCGTCGGCTTCAAAGAAGGATAATGAAGAATCGGAGACTGCCCTGAAGCAAGCGAGACTAAAGACGTTAATATGGAAGAGGCTGAAAACAAGAATAAAGAAACGAAACATGGAGAAGATGTTAATGTATCTACTAATATTAAAGAAGGTAAGGAGAATGCTGAAGCTGTATCTGAAATGTTGAAGGGCCCCCAATATACAGTTGAAGTCAATGCTTTGGATAAAGGATTCGAGGATGCAACATCTGAGGTAAAGCTTCAACAACCAGTGGATGAAGCAGAGAAAGGGCTTCGACCCGACCAACATGACAGACCCGGCATAGGTGTTATTACCGATGAAATAAAAAATGAGGTAGTAGGAGAAGAAAAAGCGAAACTTGAAAGAAGCACCGTCGAACCTGGAGGAGCAATGAAGGACAAGGAATTGATAAACTGCAATGAGGTACAAAACATCACGAGTGTCAACGGCAATGGTAAGAAAGCAGAAGAAGCAATTCGGAATGGTAGTAACTGAAGTAATGAGGTGGGCATGGTCAATCCTGGAGTTTGATCATGGATGTTTAACTGATTGATCATCGAGACAGCTTTCTATATATACACACGTGTGTGTCTGTAGATCAAATGTGTAGTTTCCAGTGATACTGCAAATGGATGTGCATGTAAACCTTTTCATGTGTATGTTTGTCAACAATGAGGAATTGTCTGATGGTTTTGCATATTGGCATAATCATCCTAATCGAGCGATTCGCTTATTGTGTCAATGCCTTTTCTTTTTTTCTCAGTAAACAAACAGGGATGGAAAACGTGATTGTTTTTTCTTTTCAACTTTTCTAACTAAACAAACAAGAGAGATTGATGGAAAAAGCGATTACCTTACATTGACCACTCTCTCTTGGCCAGCTGGGATTCATCCGTTGTTGCCACTCGCTCGTCTTCTTCATGTCCATTGCGTTGGATTTCTTGTTCAGATCATTGTAAACAAATTTGTGTGCATTAGTTTATTTGATATATTGTCTGTTCAGAGTTACATCATTCGCTTTATTTGATATTTGTAGTAATATTTCGTATTTGAATAAATCTGGATTCGTTTCCCGAGTATGTGGATGATGTAATTGATAAAATTATAGGCTACTAATATGTTATCTTTCACAGTCTCACTGTTGTTCAACTGCACCGCAATATCATTTCGTTTTTACTTTTCTTTTGCAAAAAGAATAAAGGCAACCAACCATGATTTTCTTTTGTGGGTTTAATAGTACAAAGAAGGAAAGAAATAAAGATTTTGGATTAGACAGAAAGATGTTGGGATAATTATATATCTTTTTAGAACTTTTATATTTTATATCAACAATTCAATAATTTAATTTTGGATTCTTAAAATTTTACAATTTCGATTCATTTATTTTTTGATGTAATTTTACTAAAACAAATCATATTTTTAATATAAAAGCTCGTGTTTATCATCGACGATGATAAGATTCTCTTTCTTCTTTTACCTCTTTAGGGTGATGTTTTCTAAAATTTCATAAATTGAGAGACCTTTATACTAATAGACAAATATGGACATTATGGCCATCACATATAAATATTAATTGGTTGGTTTTTGAATCGGTCTTGGAGATGATGGGGTTGGATGCCTGTATAAGATATATCTAAGTTTAGAAAATGTTAAAGTTGAATGTTTTGATGATCAAGCTAAAATAAAATAAAATTAAAACACAAAACAATACATGAATGATGTGTATAGATGAATCGGTGTCGTACCATATGTTTAGGTTATTGGAGACGTGATCATTGATTGTCCTTTTGGCCATACAGGAACAATAGTGTAATGATCAGTTTAATGGCACTCTAATCTCGATTCCTTTGGATGTTCCTTGAAAACGATGGATCAGGTTTTGATAGCTAATTACCATGTTTGATGACTTAACTTTTTAAACGGCACTTTGATGTCCAAGTTATCAAAGCTCCAACCAATCCATGGAGCCATGCATTTGCCGAACACTTTAATTTTCTCTAAACATTTTGGCCGTTGTTTTTAAAGCTTAAAAAGGTAACCCATGTAATTTGTCTCCCAACCAAACAATCTTTCAGATTGATATGCATTCAATGCTTTAATAATGTATTGAGTGAATTAGATTTTACTATCTCATTAAAAATATATTTTTTAAAAACTCTTTAATTAAGATATACTTAAAATATTAATTAAAAAGTCTTTAAAAACGTAAATCTAAAACATATAATATTCAACTAATTTCTTATAACTATTGCCCGTCTATCGGTTGATTACTCTAGGTCAACTAATGTAATAATTCATTATAAGAATTTCTCATTCAACTTGATTTTCTTCATTCATAATGTTAGGATTTGAATCATTGATTTTATGTAAAAGATATAATGCCTCTTTTCGTTAGACCACTCGGACGTTGGTTTTTTGTGTGGCATAATTGTCGTTATTTAACTTATTGACCGATTAATTCATATTAGATACTATAAATATCTATTACGAGAACAATCATTCCAACAAAAATTTCTTCATTCACAATACCAAAATTCAAACTGTGAATTTATTTATACGACCTTAGTCTCATTTCGTTAGATCGACCGATAATTAATTTTTTTTTATAAATTAATTATTATAATACGAACATTTTTTATTCTTTTTCCATTTCTTTAATCTGCGATGTCGGAGTGCTATAAGGAAAGTAGTGGGAATGGGGTCATTGTTCAACAAAATCCAATCGGTTCCGTGTTGAAAGTCCAAGCATTCAAGGATGGCGAACTGAGAAACTTCCTTTCCTTTTGTTTTTAAACTGGTTGACTTTGATTTCAATCCTTTTACTTTACTAAAATTTATAAATTAAATTGATTATTCACCTATTGTTTTATAATGTTATCTATAGGTACAAATTTCAACAATGAAAATCTCTCAATGTTTTAAAATTGGATGGCCGATTTGTAATTTAATTAATAATTGAGTGAATTGTGGTAGAATTTACCCTTAAATATAATGGGTCAAGCATGTGAATAATGACCCTTTTCGTAGTACAGTCTGGGTTTGTACCTCTTGACAATGTGGATGCCATTCAACAACAGCCCCACCCATGACCCTAAATCACTAAAGTATTGATAGTCATTCTTCACAGATGGTAAATGACTTTTAATAATTTATCCTTTCTTTTTCTCCATCATCTTCCTAGAAACTTTGTTATTCTCTATATATACTCTATTAGGGAAGGTGAGGACTCACACAATTACACATTACAGCTGAAACAGTGAGATCTAGTGGGGGTGACTGTAACAAGAGAACACAGCAAAATATTCTGAGGAAAAAGATATGGGTGAGAAAATCAGCATGGCTGCACTTATTCTTGTTTTGGCTGCAAATCTGTTGCAGAGTACGTATGGTACAACTTATACGGTGGGAGACTCCTCTGGTTGGGTGATCCCTTCCAGTAATACAGATTTCTATGATAATTGGGCTGACAATAAGAACTTCGTTGTTGGGGATGTTCTTGGTGAGTTTCTTCGCTCAAGATCTAGCTTAGATTGGATTATTAATGGAAGATTTTAAGTGGAATTTGATAGTTAGTGTACTTGTTGTTTACTGTTTTTGTGTTTTTGCAGTGTTTACTTTTACTACCGGAACACATAATGTTGCCGAGGTGACCGAAGCTGCTTACGACGCCTGCAACGTTGCTAATCCTATATCTACATTGAGCAGCGGACCGGCGAGAATTACCCTTAATAGGACCGGTGATCACTACTTCATTTGCGCTTTCCCCGGTCACTGTTCCGCCGGCCAAAAGCTCAGCGTCGAAGTCAGAAATGGCACCCGCAACAGCAGTGCTCCCACTCCTAGTCCTAGACCAAGCCCCACCATTCCTGGAGCTCCTAGCCCCACGCCCACCACGCCTGCAACTCCAAGCCCCGCCACCACGCCTGCAATTCCAAGCCCCGCCACCACCCCAGGAACTCCGACCGCCGCCGGACCTGAAACTCCAGGTGCTACCGCTCCTGGACCTTCGGGAACTCCCGGAGCCAACTCAGCTTCATCCATTGTTGCTACTCTGTCTCCTTTCTTCTTCATGTCCGTTGCCTTGGTTTTGTCGTACTGATTATGGTAACCATTTTGCCTGTGTTTTGTTTATGTGATATTATCTCAGTTGAGAGTTGATTCGCTTAATTATGACAGTGATCATATTGTTAATTCGTATCTGAATAAATATCTTGATTCATCTTCTGGATGTGTCACTTCGTTTTACTGTTGTTCAACGGCAAACCCAACCAAATATCACTTTCTTTTACTCTAATCATTTGCCAAAGATACACAAGTATATACATAACAAACTGGTAGTTGTTTTTTCTGGGTTTCAACAAAGATATATATATATTATATATAGCAAACATGCAATTTCTTGGTTCAATAAATCAAACGGGAGACTGTTGATTTAATATAAATTTGAAGGGTAACGTCAAGTTTTAGTAATGCTGAGCTTTGTGAATGGAACCATGGTAGGTGAAGACCTGCAACAAAGTCCTTTAATGCAGAAATTAATGCAAATAAAAACTAGACACGCCCACTCTTCAATCATTTCCAAACTAACCTACGAGTTACATTTGAAATTTCATTCAATTTAAATTTAATTTGGGATAAAGGTTTAAAATTTTGAAATCAAGAGTCTTCAACGTCGATTTACCCAAACTTCTCATGCAATACGTATTTGATCCTTGACAACTACTTATGAGATTTCATGAATTTAGACTTTTGTAGTTTCTAACCACTTTTACCAAACCCCAAATTAGCCCATAAATTCCAACAATGATAAATCCATTCCCTTGATTTAATTAGCAGTGCTTTTGGTTATCAATTCACTTGATCAAATTAATTTAAATATAATTATGAAGCGTGGCAAGATATTTGTTCATCTTCTTAATCACGTGATTAAGAATAAAGGTTCAATCACTCATTTATTATATGTTGTGAAAAAGTAAATTATTATTAGTCATTCGTCTATTAAACAATACAAATTTATGGTGTAAAACTAAAAGAATAAATCTTGCTACATATAATCTTGATTTCGTACTTTTTTTTATTAGAAATCTTTTCCTTTTCCAAGTTAGTATCAGCTTTTCCATGCCTTATCATGTTAAAAGGATTTTTAATTAATTATATATTATCATTAATTTTTAATTTATTCGATTTAAGTGATCAATTTGGTTTAAAATGCTTATAACATTGAATCATTTATATTCGGGTCAATACTCGATATTTGAAGTATAGGAGAGAAAACATGGTGGGTAAAGTGTAAACTATCTAAGAACTCCCAATATTACAGGTCAAGACTAAATGTGTAATTTCCGTAGCGTTGGTTGTAGTCAAGTCAGCTATGCACATTCAATGCTGGTTCACGGTTGATTTTTTTCTCATTTTTTAACTTCTAATACAAGCCCATAATTCCACACGGGTCTATATTTTAGCTTTTACTTCTACAAAGTTGTAGAGTACAATTGGGATCTATATTTGATACTTAATTTTAAAAAAAAATATTTAATTAATATCTCATGTGTCCGAGTGGAATTTTAGTACTAATCAATTTATCACACATGAAATTTGTCGACATTTACGTATTAGGAATTCATAAATAAAAAATTTAATAGAAACAAAATTAACGTAAAATAAGACATAGGCAATAAACAATATTTAATGTGATTTGATCTTGTCTACCTCTTTGAACAAGATCAAATCACATTAACTAAATAAACTTAATCATTGAATGCTCTTTGATCATTAACTCAACAATAAAATGTAATTTAATTTTTAATTAGAATTTGTGTTAATGTCTAACACAATATTCTCATTGATCAATTTCATATTAATAATATGATTTATTATTGAGATACCAAATCAATATAAATATTATCTTAATTTTTCTAATTTGTATGCCAATAAAATTTGAAAATATTAATAAAATCATTAAATTTATTATTTGAAATTTTATTTAATAATTATATATTTTTTACAAACTAGAATTGTTTAACCAAAGAAAGTTATGTCCCGGTCATGGGTATGAAATTATTACCGAATTGAACTTCTTGATTACTACTCTATTATATGACTTCAAATCCTTATAACACTGCATCTTACCTTTTCTTCCAAATAAGTTGACTTATTCCGTCATAATTATTATTTACTGATTTAAAATTACATCTTTCTCTTTTTAGGAATATATATATATCTTAGTCAAACATAACTATGAAAATATAAATTTTCCTCTCTTCATATGTGGTCAACTTTATTACCAAAAAAATATTTATGTAGGTATTTCTTTATCTAATAAATAAAAGTATTAAAAAGTATAAATCCTTTCATAGACAAATCAAACTAAAAAGACAAAATAAAATAAGAAGTCTTCGGTTTTAGCTAATTTTCCACGCGGCAAAAAGTCCCAAAACTCGGCGAGTTTGCACTACTTTCCAACTAAAATTCTATGCGTTGATCTTCTAGACCGACATATACACGTGTCATCCATCCAACGCTTAACATCCCGTCCCGTTACCTAAGCCTTCTTGCCTATAAATACGAGACGAAGAAGGAAAATTAAAGCAATAAATAGTCTTAAGAAACTGGGTAAGTAAGAATAGGGGAGACCTGAATACTAAGAACACAGAGGAAAAGATGGGAAAAAGAATAAATTTAGCGTTTATTACAACCTTCGCCATTGTAGCTTTGTTGCAGAGCTCTTTGGCACAAAGAGATTACGTTGTTGGCGATGCTTTAGGCTGGGTGATTCCTCCAGGTCCCTCGACTTATCCCACATGGGCAGCAAACAGGGCTTTCAGAGTCGGCGACACTCTCGGTAAGTTAATCGAAAAAAGAATAGTTTTTTCGTTTGATTTCCTCTGTTTTTTCGAGTTGGTTGATGATTTATTTTGTGATTATGGGCAGTGTTTAATTTCATTAATGGAGCGCACGATGTCGCGAAGGTGACGAGGGCTAACTATGATTCTTGCAATGGTGCGAATCCCCTTCTTATGTTTTCGAATAGCCCTGCGAATGTGACCCTCAACGAAACCGGGAGTCATTACTTCATCTGCGCGTTTTCCGGTCATTGCAGTGCCGGTCAAAAACTGGCGATCAACGTTAGTGCTGCTGTTTCGTCTCCGGCTCCTCAGCCGTTAACCGCCGTTTCTAAGCCTTCTCCGCGTCCTCAACCTACTACTCCACCAGCTTCTAGTCCTATGTCGTCTGCCCCTGCTCCAGCGCCTCAAGGTGGCTCGCCGGCACCTGTCTCTGGTCCGACGACTTACACTGTTGGAGACACCTCGGGATGGATTGTACCAACTAATGGTGCTTCGATGTACCAAACATGGGCTAATGGCAAGAACTTCATGGTCGGAGACATTCTAGGTAAGAATTTGAAAAGAGGAGAAAACATCTTTGATGAACTTGAATTTTGCGTATTCTTTTACGTGATTTAATCCAAAGTCAATTTTTGGTTTTGAATTTTAATCTCAATTATGCAGTTTTCAACTATGTTACTGGTACCCATGATGTGCTCGAGGTATCGAGAGCAGCTTATCAGCCATGCAATGCAACCAATTCAATTTCAAACTGGACCACCGGACCAACAAGAGTCACTCTTAGGACGGTAGGCGAGCACTACTACATCTGCGGAGTCCCCGGCCACTGCGCTGCCGGTCAAAAGCTGGCTATCAATGTCTCCACCAGCTCCACAGCAACCCCGCCATCCTCTTCCTCGCCTTCACCATCACCATCCATGCCATCCCCTTCCTCGCCTTCACCATCACCATCCATGCCATCCCCTTCCTCACCATCACCGTTATCAGCTACACCGCCATCCTCCACTAACGGTCCCTCGTCTCCCACCAACCCTTCATCTCCCGCCGGAGATAATAATGCAACTCCGCCAACACCGGGCACCTCAGCAGCATCTCTGGGTGTTGCGGGTCTCTCAGCTACTTTCGTGTCTTTGATTGTAGCTTTCTTCATGTAATTTACACATTGTATTAGCTAGTAAGTAAACTAGAATTAGTGTGTGAGCATTCATTGTTTTTGCCTTACAGATTTGAGATTTTGAATTTACAAGAGTTTGTATTTTCTTTTACGCAGATTACCAGTTACGATTTTAATGTTATGCACATTTTCCCGATAATTTATTAGGTTTTTGAATAGTTCTACCAATGTTCTTTTTCCCGGTCCTCGTTGCTGCTACTAGCATAATAGCATTTATGGTAAAGTGTTGAAAATAATGCTAATTTGGTCAAAAATTACTACTTTATTTTTTTTTTTGGAAAAAAAGTGCCAGCTTTATTAAAAATGGAAAAGGAAGTGAATCAACAATACAGCCTAATAAAGTAAAGGGTAAACTATAGTAATGGTCACTCAACTTTTTTGACACTTGCATTTAGGTCCCCTAACTTTTAAAACTTGCAATACAATCTTTTAAAATTTAGTCCGTTTGCAATATGGTATCTGACGTAACCGACAGTTTGACGCCGTTACACTTCCATTAGTCCGTTTGCAATATGGTCATTGAACTTTTCAGGTGCTTACAATTAAGTCCCCCAACTTTTAAAACTTGCAACACAATCCTTAAATTCATTCTAAACCCCAAATTTCTTTTCGATCTCGAATTTCCTTTGTCGTTTCTCTCTTCTCATTTCCAGCGTAACTTTTAAGTCGATGATGCATGAGAAATTTTAATATAACTTTGAATTATGTGGAGTAGTTGACTTGAATAAGGGTCCATTGAGAGAAGACCAGACCAAGGGACTATCGAGACCATCAACGATTCAAGGTGTAACGTTAGATACATGTCATCTCAGGTGAAACATAGATGTTCGATGAAATGCTTGTGAGAAAACAACAAGGTTAGAAATGCAGAGTAGACAAATACTACTAAGATGAACTAAGTATCATTGTTGAAAGTCACCAACAAAACTTAAATTATTTTGTATAAATGGCATATAATAATTTATTCGTTCAATCCTTGTGGTTAAAGATTTTCAACAAATGATTAAATATAATGAAATCACAAACAGCATCTTCAGAGAGCACTTGAAGAATGTGGGAATGATTTGGATTCAACCATTAGAAGCTTGAATGAGCTTCGCTTAGTGTCGGCTGATAGAAATGTAGCTGCTGCTGATAAAACTGGTGAAGGATTAGAAGGAAATGTTCAACTTCTAGCCCAAGGTATAACTTTTTATTAAATGTTGATCACACCAGACTGATGATACCCTCGAACAGTTTGCTGTGCATCTCTCTCTGGATTAATAATATTGAGATTCATTTTGCGATTGTATCTTTATTGCTTAACTTTAAGAAATCTTCAGTTGCTTTTTGTGACTACAAGGCAAAGAAGGTTTAGCAGCTTTTTAAAATTTCCCAAACTTATTTTGTTATATGTTCCTTTACATGTTTGTATAATGTTTGGAACAAACTCATTTAACTTGAATGGAACCAAATTACAGAATTATGGAGCATCTTTAGTTGCTTATTGAGAATTGCATTGTTCTTTTATAGGTATAGAAGCTAACGGAGATGTTCCAATTAAGGAACAGACATCTCCAGAAGCCTTCTCAATGGGTGGTTCAGAATGGGTGGAACTTTTTGTTAGAGAAATGTTAAATGCTTCTAACATTGATGATGCCAGAGCTCGTGCTTCTAGAGCACTGGAGGTTTTGGAGAAGTCCATCCATGCACGTGCTGAAGCAGAGGTGGCCCAAAATTTTCACCAGGTTGGTTTTATCATGGTTGCTACTGGTTAAATGCCCATTCATACTTTTCTATTGGGTACTTTGGGATGGTCCTTGAAAAATACGTTGGTATTGGTCCATCTACGTATTGTATTGATAACAATTTTAATGGAAAGCTGCTTATGTGGACTTCTAAAACCAGACAGTATGTGAATTGGAAGAAAATGACTACATGTCGTTTAAACATCTCTTTTGCCGACTTAAAACAAGTTCCTCAAATTTCAGTAGCATACATTAAAAGTTGGACAATTTTTTCATTAATATTGTTGTTAGTTTAACTTGTTTACATCTATCCATCACTTTTACCGGCTGTTTGAGAATGCTGAAAATTGCTACTTGGGTTGTTATAGGGAAACATGCTGCTGAAAGAACAGAGGAAACACTAATTCAGGAAAATACTATTCTCAAGCGAGCTGTTGCCTTGCAACATGAGCGCCAGAAAGAGTATGAAAATCAAAGTCAAGAGTTACAGCATCTGAACCAAGTAATATCTCAGTATCAGGAGCAGCTGAGAACCCTTGAGGTTTGGCTTCATGAACCAACTTTTAACACACACATGAAGCATATGCATACCATGTTAGTCGGCTTTCAATGTGAGTGTCAGATATGAGTCACTAGGTCATATCCAATATCCCAATTTCCCAATAACGATATCCGAATATGCATTGAACACAAGTATTATACACGAGTACTTGAAGAAATGAAGAACCAGAGCAACATAGCATGTGCATACATAATCTATATATATATATATTCTTTAGTGTATATTTTCCAGAATCGGGTGAAAATTGTTTGATCTTCTAATGCCCCACTAACAGGTAAACAACTATGCATTGACAATTCACTTGAAGCAAGCACATTAACGTAGCTCTATCCCTGGCCGTGTCAACCCCGATGTTTTCTAGCAAGTCTTCGGCAGATAATTTGTGTCAAATCCGTGCTTCAATCTTAGCAAATGGTTTGCTAATGGTCTTTTGGCCACGTAAAGTTATTGTTGCTCTTTAGGCTGCAGTTCAAAGATGTTCCCTCGGTTTTCTAACAAAATTCATGAATTGTAGTTTATGTCCTCAAGTTATATACTTGAAAGGGGATATTTGACAGTAAAAAATGGTAGGCTTAATGTCCTTTAGAGTTGTAACTTTTTATCTGTAGTTACATATATGCAATGAATAAAAAAAATTGGAGTTCAACCCTATATAATATCTGATCCAGTTGTAAAATTTACATAAAATAAATTTACCAAAATATCAGCTTATTTTGTAACACAATAAATATGATTATGACGCGTAAAAACACATAAATGTAATACAAACTAATGAATTTTGCAGTCTAATCGTGATGCTTCCTCTTTCACTTAAAAATTATAAATAAAATAAATATTGGTTTTTTTATAAATCAATCAATTTCATTACCCGAAGAACAAGTTCAGCAACAAGAACAAAACAAAATATATCCCAATGTTTACAAAGGGGAGAATTAACACTATCATTTCTATTTATATTTCTATCCCTCAGTTGAAGACGAACATCCTTAATGGCAAGGAACATCTCTTGAACATTTCTGGAACGGCCTTGAAAAAGCCTCTTATTTCTTTCTTCCCAGAGAAAGTAGATAAGGGCATTAAGGGCAAGCTTCATAATCGAAGTTATCGGTGATTTTCCTTTCCAAGTAGAGCTTGCCCACACAAAAAAAAACATCCCAAGATCTGATAGAAAACTGCAGACCAGAGTGGGAGAAAACAATATTCCATAATTGAACTGCCATATGACAATGGAGGAACAAGTGCTCCCTTGTTTCCCAAGGAGCATTGCAAAACATGCATTGGCAGTCATTGATAAGCCTCATTTGGTGGAGTCTCGCCTTTGTAGGAAGTCTATCAAGTAATGTCATCCAGTAATCAAATTGTGTTTAGGGATGTGAAGAGTGAACCAAATAATTTTCTGCCAAGGGACTTGAGGTCTCTTATCACGAATAGCATCCCAAATGTCAGTCACTTTCATTGCTCCAGCAGACAGGATTGGATAAGCTTCATTTCTCAGTTTAAAATTCGCCTTAAGCTCCAACTACTAGAGGACCGAATGTCAACATTCCAGAAATTGTTTTCTTTAAAAACATAGTTTTTTATCCAAGCAACCCATAGGGAACCTTCACCTACGAGAATATTTTTAATAAGGAGGATCATACAAGCTTTGTTCCAAGTCTTCAAGTCTTTAATTCCTAGCCCTCCCTTAGATTTCAGTAGACAAATGTTTTGCCAACTCACTCTAGCTCCAGTTGCATATTTATCTTCTCCTTTCCAGAAAAAAAAAGAACAAAGTTGGTCTACTTTCTTAAGAACATAATGAGGCAAGAAAATTTGTCTATACCAATAGTTATTGATACTAAATAAGACAGCTTTGATTAATTCCAGTATTCCTGCATAGCTTAGAGATTTAGCAGACCAATGATTCAACCTTGCTCAAATGTTATCAATGAGAGCCGCACAATCTTTTTCAGTTATTTTTCTAGTGACCAGAGGGATTCCTAGATACCTTATAGGAAGTCTGCCAGTTTTAAAACCAGTGAGCAGTTTTATTTCCTCCAAAGTAGATAAATGAATACCAACAACATATAAGTCACATTTAAAGGCATTAAGCTTGAGACCAAACATCTCATAAAACAAATCTAAGACACTAGTGACCCCAATAACATAATCAACAGTTTCTTTGCAGAAAATTAAAAGATCATCAGTAAAAGAAATACGAGTTAGGCCAATTCTTTTACATTTCGGATGGTAACCAAAAATACCTCTAACAGCTGCTAAATTGAGGAGTCTAGAGAGGATATTCATTGAGAGAACAAATAACAAAGGGGAAAGGGGTCACCTTGTTTAATGCCTTTTGCCCCCTTAAAGAAGCCAATGAGACTCCCATTGAAGGAGACAGAGAATCTTGCTGTAGAAAAGCAATCTTTAGAGAGCATCTTGGAGAAATGTTCTTCCTACTGTAGCCTCAAACCAGTTCTTGTGCTAGAAGGGTATTATCAACTATACTTCTCCCTTTTATAAAAGCGGTTTGATTGAGTGAAACAATATCAGGGATAAGTTTTTGTAGTCTACTGACCAAAATCTTGGATATGGCTTTATAGAACACAGAGCAACAAGAAATTGGTTTGATCAGTATTGTTGTTTAATATTTTGAATGTTGTAGGTTTAAATTTTTGCGTTAGTCTATGATCTAATGACTCTGGGTTTGAT